AAATATTTATACATTTGCAGAACTTATAAATGTTTATTGTATATATTTTAGGTATTGGAATTCAAGGTCTCGCAGATGCTTTCCTCTTAATGCGATATCCGTTTGAAAGTGAAAAAGCACAGATACTTAATATCCAAATATTTGAAACGCTATATTATAGTGCTTTAGAAGCCAGTTGTGAAATTGCTGAAGAGAAAGGTCCATACGAAACGTATAAAGGTAGTCCAGTTAGCAAAGGAGTAAGTAAATTGCATATGCATTCAATATTTCATTTTTACCAATATATCAATTCTGTTAATGTACTTTCAGATTTTACAATACGATATGTGGAATGTTACACCAACTGATTTATGGGATTGGGCTGCTTTAAAGGAAAAAATTGCTAAACATGGAGTTAGAAATTCTTTGTTAATTGCACCTATGCCAACAGCATCTACTGCGCAAATTTTAGGAAATAATGAGTCCATAGAACCCTATACTAATAATATTTATACAAGAAGAGTTTTGTCTGGAGAGTTTCAAGTTGTTAATCCTCATTTGTTACGGGATCTTACTGAAAGAGATCTTTGGGATCAGGACATGAAAAATGAAATTATAGCAAATAACGGTTCTATTCAGGTTGGTGCTTCATGCATCTTTAGTGCATATGGTTATCGTGATATATTTACATCAGAAAAAACTATATTACATTAAATTACTTTGTTTTGTAGAATATTGAACGTATACCGAATGATTTAAAAATGCTTTATAAAACAGTTTGGGAAATATCACAAAAAATAATCTTAAAGATGGCAGCCGATCGTGGTGCCTTTATAGATCAATCGCAGTCATTAAATGTTCATATGGCTAAACCAACAACAGAAAAACTAACTTCAATGCATTTTTACGGATGGCAAATGGTGCGTGATTATATCTTATTTTTTCCATCATAGTTTTAATTCAACAATTTTATTAAATTATTAAAAAATGCTTCATCGTTTGCAGGGTTTGAAAACTGGTATGTATTACTTGAGAACAAAACCAGCAGCAAATGCTCTTCAATTTACGGTCGATAAATTAAAATTACGAAATACAAGCACTAATATGGCTAATCAATCTCTACATGCTGAAAGCGAAAGTGATGAAGAATGTAATACTACCCCGAAAAACAAATTGTTACGAAATAAAACTAACATAGATATAGAAACTGTTCTTGCATGTTCTCGAGAAAATGGAGATGCATGCATGGCTTGTGGATCATAGATATAAGTATTTACAGTAGTATATGTTAAATTACGATTTTTATTTAGAAATATAAGTTTAAAGTTTTTTTTTTATTTTTAAAAAAAAAATAATTTATGCTAAATTTCAAGAAAATCAAAATGTAAGAATTATAATTTAAAGTTTCGCGCGAAACAAAATAGTCAACTAAATATAAATAAATGTTGATCACTGTTGTGTTCTTTGTATACTATAGTCAAGTGTTCAGGAACGGCGTCACTACGGTAGTCAAGTGAAATGTCAAAATTACAAGCGTGTGGACGTACATAGTCGTGAATCAGTTAGCTGTCGAGTAAATTTCGTTAAACATTCCGGGTGAATATATTCATTTTGGACTCATTTGTGAGTGATTCGGCATTGTGCCGATTAACTATGTAATGATTTTATTTTTTGATCAAGAAAAAATAAGGAAACGTTAATAAAAGAGGTCTCTCCTGTAACGAATCTGGGCAGTGATGCCCAGCTGATGCGTTTTAACATATTTGACAGTCGAAATTGCGTAATTGTTGTCAGTATTTTCTTATGAGACTTTTTACGCAATTGCCGTATAGGATGGCGGATTTGGATGACTTATTTCGTTTAGATCAATACGTAGGTCCAGAGTCTCTTGCAGAACGGTGTTTCCAAGTGATCTGTAAAAATTTAGACATCATCTCGGTAAAGGATAAGCGTGGCTATCGAAATCTTTTGGAAGGGATAGTTTGCCCAAGCGAAATATGCGATAAACTTATTGAATATGTTCTACATATGATTCGAAATGATTCGAATGAAGATCATGATTGGTTCTTTACTATTTTCAAAAATGTGTGGGTAACCAAACTTAAGCACGTCAAAGTTGTGGGATCCAATATGACTGACCAGTCTGTACAGATCCTTACTAATCATAAGCTTGTGAAATTAGAACTTACAGACTGTCCTAATTTAACAGAACAATCTGTTGAATATATAAATGCAAATGCAGAAAATTTGCATACTTTAGTATGCCATGGAACTTCTAAGCATATCATTCTGGCAAAACTTACAGGTAAGAGCATGTTATCGTTTATTTTTCAATTCAGTCGTTAAGTATATTGGAATTTTAATATAAATCTTTCCTAAAGTATGTAACAGTCACTTATAGAATAACTACAGTTTGTACCTTTTTTTATTATAATTTATTGTGAACTAAAATTATATATTATTTTGGAAAAGGAAATAAATGTTATGCTGTAGTTCTATTGCAATGAGACTATTTACAAAATTGACAAATAACAAATAATAAATAACAAAGAATATTATCATTAAATAAAGGTATAATTATTTTTATTTACTTTACAATGTGAAGAAAATGTTTAAAGTTGTGTCATTTACATTAATTCTGATATTCAAAACTTTAACAATTATTAACTTAATTTAACATAATAAGTTTATTTATAAATGTAAAAGATTAATATACATGTTTTTTCTAATTATTAGCATACCAAGAACGAGGATATCTTTTTAAAATACCAAACTTAAGGACTTTGGCTTTAGAACATGTTAGAATTCCTGCTCCAGAATATGGCATTCTCTTGTCTGGATTAACAAATTTAACAAGTTTGGACTTATCCAATAGTTTTGATGTGGGCAGTTTTGACTTTTTTTACTTAGTTCCAAATTTGATATCTTTAGTTTTATATAATGTCAAGATTAGTAATCAAGCACAAGCTTTTGTTAGCAATATTTGTCATTTAAAAAATTTAAGGTAATTGTTTATTTTTTATTTATAATAGAGTAAAATATCTTTAATGTCTTTAACTTTATATTCTTACAATTAGGCATTTGGACATTTCCCAAATCAATCCTCAGAATGGAGTATTTGCAAATCCTAATACAATCTTATCTAATATAGTGAATGGTTTGCCACAACTAACTTCTTTGGATATTAGTGGTACAAATTTAGCAGGAAAAGAAATAGTGAACCGTCCCATACAAACAGTTGAAGAGTACTATTCTGACATATGTAATAATAATCTCTGTGATATACCAGGTCTTACTTCAAGAGTACATAGACCTTTACAATTTTTAGGACTCTATGGGGCAAATGATGCCCCTTGTAGACGATGCAATATTCCAGCAAAATTGGTAAGCAATGAAAAAGTATTCTATAACATATAAAAGCATTGTGTTATTTATTTTTCATTTTCTAATTATACTGTGTTGAAATATCAGATTGCAGGGAATGCAAATGAAGGTCAAATATTAGTTGCAGCCCATGTGTATATGAATAATAAAGAAGACTTAATGCAAAAAGTAATAAATGATCTGTATCATATGTACAGATATGAAAATTGTCATAGAACAGATCAAGCTCTTTGTGCAGTATTGGAAGCAATGGAGAAATATCCTACTCAGAAAGATATACAAACATTTGGAAGGTAATCGATTATAAATGACATAACAATTTACATATTGTGAAGCACATCATATATTTCAAGAAATTTAATATAATATGTATTTTACATACAGTGCAGCACTATTTTATATTGTAAAAATGAAAGAAAAAGGTGAATTAGAAGCAAGATTGAAAAAGAGAATTGTTCGTACATTACTTGTTGGAATGAGCATTCATAAAAATGAAGAAACTATGATGCGCCATGCTTGTTTAACATTGTACCAATTCCAATTACCACGTGATGTAGTATGTATCATATTTATTTACATTAATATCTTTGCTTGTATTATAAGGTGTATCTTCAAAGTTGAAAATGTTTTCCATTGTTATTTATGTTTTATTAGATGTCACACTATGAAACATTGGTAAAAATACTTTTACATTTACTTAAATATGCAGAACAACAAAGTTATATCCAACGTATTGGAGTTTTTCTTTTAAATACCTTGGCATGTCAAGTGACAGGTAGAGAGAAACGTTTATTGGGCAGTCTAGGTTGTATAAAGATCATGCTTGAACTAATAAGATATAGAGTTGAATCTAAAAGATACGACGATGTTATAGAAGTAGCATGGTCAACTATGTGGAACGTAACCGATGAAACTCCTATAAATTGTCAACGATTTTTTGAAGAAAATGGCATGGTGCTATTCTTTGTATGTGCGATGGTATGTGTTGTTAGGGTCATTTAATTTACTCATAAAAAACTTATAAAAATTCTATATTTATACACAAAATTTATTTTTTAGCAATATCCTAATAAGGAAGAATTATTAAAAAATATGATGGGATTACTTGGTAATGTGGCTGAAGTACAAAGTCTTAGAGTGCATCTAATGCAACAATCATACATGATGGTTTTTGCAAATATATTACGCACTGTCAGAGAAAGCATGGAGGTATTTCATAGTTATGTTAGGGCATGTGCATGACAGCTACATATCTTCAAAAATATTTCATAATGTTAAAAGATATTGACAGGCAAATTTGAACTACATTGAGAGGCAAATATGTCCATTTCTTTGTGATAATTTCAATATTACAAATATTTTTGATAATATTTAATTGTCGCATTTTACTTGCCCTATCTTTGTATATTGATAAGTATACTCAGTAATTACATTTCTACAATATTTAAGACATTCCTTTTACTATTAGGTGCCTTATAATGCTGTCGGTATATTAGCTCACACAGCATCCGATGGTGTGGAAGCATGGACAATTAAAAAACCTAGTCGGGATGTAGTACTTGAACTCATGGTTGAAGCTATTGAACGATGGGATATATCTTCAGAACGTAATATCAATTATCGCTCATTTTTACCGTTATTACGTTTGGTGGATATCTATCACACACCACAGTGTCAGCATTGGGCAGTTTGGGCTCTTGCTAATCTCACAAGTGTTTATCGTAAGTTTTATTAAATTTGATTCTATTTCAGATATAGTAATTTTTTCATGCTATATGTTCTTACATAACAAAATTTCTAAAAGCATTAATTTGAATAAAAATATATGTAACATCAACAAATTTTAATAAAACTATGATTATTTCCTTGACAGCTCGTAAATATTGCATGTTAGTTATACGAGAAGGAGGCCTTGAGAAGTTAAATACTTTAATCTCAGATTCCAGACCATATGAGCGCATAAAAGAGCTTGCTCATATTGTGATTGAAAATTGTTTTCATTATTGTAATAACACCAATGACTTGAATGTTCATTCACCTTTAGATGAAGACTATACATATAATTCTGATGGTTGAAAAACGACTTTCATTATTACAATTCAAACATAACACCATCAAAAGTAGAATGTTTTGCGTCTGTAATAAAAATTCTTCAAAACAAAAGAGTGTGAGTAAGATTATAACAACATGCTAAGGTACTGATGTATGTTTGTTTGCCAAATTGTAAATTTAACATTGAATGCTCAAACAATCTTACTCGCACTTTCATTATACAAACACTTCATTGCATATTTTATTTATTACATGTTATGGAATATTTCTCGATTATGCGTGAAAATATATTAATATATTAATGATATTAACGAAAAGATATTAATTAGCTGATACAAAATATTTTTGATGTTCATAATCAATCTTTACAAACAATATTCAAATTCAAACACATCTTTGGTTTATGTAAATAGCCACGCTGTATTATAAACGAGAACAAATTAGAAGTAGACTGAAGTTATATTTCTCTGTTCAGATAATAACAACGGATTAAGGTTTGACGTTTTAAACTTATATTAAGTTTCTTACATATGTGTGAATTCTTTGTAGATATTTGTATCATAAATAACTTTTTCAGTTGCCATTAAATTTTATTCGGTTGAAGAGATTTTAAATAAAGAAGTACATTGGACTATTATGTAAATAGAATTAAAATAAAATAAGATGAGTTAAGTTTACGAATTTGTACATCTCTATTATTAAAATTAAAATTCTTTGAAATAATGATGCTGTTGTCAAATAAAATTAAGCCCTAAAGCAAACATAATAACTTAAACTAAATTTGTAGATTTTAATTATTGATTTAAATAACTTTGGCAAGAAATCTGCGTGAATTACTATCTAAATGATTGTTACTGTAATCGTTATGTAATAATTATGTACACGTGTAATAAATTGCAAAAATTCTTGATCTGTTTAATGTATAACATGAAATCATATAACATTGATCCATACTTTCTATTTCTTTACACCTTATAACCCTCGTTATCTTTAT